GCAAAACTATCTTTAAAACCATTTGTTGTAAGTTTATATCCAGTACTTTTTCCCGTCTTAAACTGTAAAGAATCTCGTGCTAAACAGTTTAGCAGCGTCTTCTTCTTGAGTTTCATTGATAATTGGAAAAAACGGTAGGTTTGCACTGCCGTCACCAAGCAGTAAGGATTGTAGATGGCATGACAAAAAGAAAAGAAAAAAACTTGCAATGTTTTTAAAAAAATCAAATTTAGCCCGATGTCATCTGCTTTCTGAATATTTTTGCAATAAATCAACAATTTCATTTTCAAAATACTTAGGTTCTTAACTATTTTTTTTCCTGAATTTGCTGATTCCTGTAATATTGTCTCATCTTCCACACAATAACAATTCCCTGTCTGATGTTTTCCTATGAAAAATAATGTACTATTTGTTCAGTCCAGTGTGTTCAAAACCAAGTAGTGAAATAATTCTCTTTTCTCCTGTTCATTTCTGTTCTTATTTCTCCAATTTTTTAAATTTTATAAAACCACCGTCCTTTCTTCTACTCATAATGTTTTTCCACCTCGCTTTCATTTTTTAAAATTTTATTATGCCCTTTATTTCTGTTATACTAAACCAATACCCAACGCCATTAACTTAGTATATTTGTCTAAAATCACTAATCCCAAATTCAAAATCATTTCAAATTTGTTTAGTTTACTTTATTGCTGGCTCAAGTGAGTTATACTAATAATAGTTATACCAATAATAAAAGTAGCCGGTAAAATCTGAAGTAATAGTTCGGCAGATCAAAGCATAAATGATCACTTCTGTAAAAAGGAATCTCTGCTTTGAAATAGGAAAATGAAAAATATGATTTTACTGGTCAGAAATGTGTTGAACATAATGTGCCATAGAGTAAATCCGTTTCCATGAAAACTTGCTTTGCCATGTTTCCACCATGTGTTACAATTTCTCTTAGCTTGTTTCGTACTGAGTCAAACGAGACAAGCTGTGAACGGCGTGCGTCTTCTCCCCTCTCTCCAGGTCCAGACTGTTCTCAGGAGACAGTGGAATCTTCTGCGGATGCAGTCTGCCGGCACGTTTGCCAACCCAGAGTTCTTCCGTTCGGCGTACTACGTGGCGTCGTCGCTCACCGAAGTCCATCGCTGCTACAGCATCGAGAGCCACACCGAGCACATGAATGGCAAGAGCTACTCTGACATATTCAGATCGGAAAGCCCTTATTTGAAGAAACAAGAGCCGTCATTCTAATGATTTTTTTTATTTATTGATAAATGGACATGCAGGAAAAAACCAAGTTAAGAGAGCAGTTTGGATTGTCTTCTTTACGTTTTTCACCAGACTTGACTTTTGAAGTATCAGCTCTTAGTGTTGAAAACATTGAGGCAGAAAGGAGTCAAATCAGGGCCAAGAAACAGTGATTATTTTCACTATACTGTCTGCTATTTCTGTGGGAGAATAGTGCAAAGTTGAGATAAATGTCGAAACAAAGAAAATGGCAACCGAGTGGATTTTCTCATGTCAACCTATGTGGCATTCATATATGAATAATTGCATAAAGCTAAACTTATGATGTTGCTGAATTTTTTTTTTATGTTTCACTCCATTGGCTTCTGCTCACCATTTGCATTTCATGCATTTGATTTGGCTTAATTGTATTTTCATTTATGTACACAATTCTAAATGCTGTAGAAACGAGAGAGGTGTGTTTGATTATCAACACAGCATGTCGAGGCACGTGATGTGATATTTGTAAAGTTTATTAATAGGAAGCTACAAACACACTGTCTTGCAGTGAAAAGTATAACGTCTGATTTAAACTGTTTCAAGGCACAAACTGTTGGAGGCACAATCTGCCACATTAACTGTTTTTCTGCATTTAACCCAAGATGCTCATATTCCATATTTTGGAGTAACCTCGGTAGTCGAAACTGGGAATGCTAAAGCTTGGTTTTGGTTCCGAATCCAAATCCCTTAAGGGTTTGCCGATTGTTGTACTGTGACAAGAATTACTACTGTTAGCAACACAGTGAATTTCTCTTCAGGTATTAGAAGACTAAGCAATATTTTTTACATATGGGGACAGTTTTGTTGTAAAATGGTTTAATGACGCCTATGAAGAGGTTATTCTGGCACATTTCAAAATGTTTGTATGTGCAGCAGCCATGATGAATTTGAAGTCAGGCGAGTTTAGATTAAGCTTTCGAAGTCCAAATTTTACTTTCCCTGTGACTTCAACTCAAGTCACATGTAATACTTTCACCCGGCAGCTGTTTGGAGAATCCGGCTGTGGTAAACATTGGTTTGGTTTTTCTGCTTTCTCGTGAAGCCAAAATGAAAAAGTGTGATTTTCTAGTACAAAAATGAAGTACGTGTGACAATTTCAAGTAGTGAAATAAATCTTTCGTGATTTTTGTCCTTCACAACACCAACTTTTTTTTGACCGGTTTCCGGAAAAGGGAGAACCTGCTTCCTTTAGCAAGTGCCAGTTTAAAATTCTCCAATGAAGCTTAGACCCTAAAACAATTCATTGATATGTGCTTAGTCGAACATAAGCCCATTAGGTTACATTAAATAACCTAATGCTAACATTAGGCTGCTTAATGTTAGCATGTCTTTGATTCATGTTTTACTTTCTTACTGGCAGTGTTGACTCTTTCTCAATGTCTTCCTGTGAAAATACACAATATAAAATTCTTATATTTACGTATTTAATCAAGCTCACCTTGTTCCTTAAAGCAACCATTTTTGTTGTTTTTATAACGGTATTTAAACTACCAAGAGATTTTGTTCCTACTGAAGTAATAATACTGTAAATAAAGACGTGTTGATTTGAAAACATTTTGACTTTCTTTTGCAGATCCCAATCCCCCTTTTTTTCTTCTTTTACCCCCATTTTCTTTCCTAAAGAACAAATCACTTTGTTGCCTTTCCCACATATCTAATTGAGGGAGGAATTTCCTCGTCTGACCTCAGACAAATATTTCTTGCTCTAATGAATATTGTTTCCAGACAAAGCAGGGCGGGTTATTGTCTGTTCCGTGTCCAGAAGGCAAACGAGTACAATTAGAAAGTCCCACAGGAAAAGTTCTCTATCTATACTTTCGTGCCGTCGTTTGTCGAGTTCGATCCGTAGAGAGGCTGGTACAGCTGTGGACAAGCGACCTGATCAAAAATACATGTGCAGCTGTGCGCGACTGTAAGGGTTTCTATATGCATAGACAGAGCTCGATTCCAGATAGGACTCTGGTTTCTGTGATTCTTGGAAACAACAATTATGAAACTGTCATGCTCTTTTTATTTATTTATTTATTTTTTGTTCAGAACAGTTACATGCTTTGTACCTCTACGCTTTTTGCTTGTTTCTCCTTGCAGCTGCATGACAGATGGTTTAGTATCCCATAAAGTTTGATGGCACATATTTCCTGTTTTATTGCAGGGAGGAAGCAGAAAAGTGCCGATTTAAGAATTTGAAGGATTCAGGCTATACTTTGCATTTTGTTGTTTCTCAATCACAACACCATCTGATGATGGAAATCGGAGCTGTGGATGCATTGCAGGCTTCCTGTTTCTAAGAATACCATCGCCATTGAACTCTTGATCCATCCATTCTTGTGTGCTGGTAGCAAACACTTCCTCAGCTCTGTGACTAAAGCTTGTTTACTGCCTTCACTTCCCTCACTTCCACCGAGACCTGAATCATTTCGCTGGAGTTCTCGTTCCCCCCCGGTGGCTTTCCAGAAGCCCAGTTGGTAGAAATTCTGTGAATTTGTCAAGGACGTTTCCACAGGATGCGAGAGAATAGAGCCAGAGCAGAGAATTGTCGCATGTTTCGTGACAATTCTGCAGATGGAGCAAAATAAGCTCCATTTGTAGCAGCGGCGCTACAGCTGATTGATTCATCTCAAATAGTTGAGCTAGATTTAAAGTGAACTTCAGTTGTTATAAAAATGCTGCACATCAAAAAGATGACTTCAAAGAAATTTGACTTTGTAATTTCACGCCTTGAAATTGGGTATCTGTCTCTTTAAAAACTCCTGCTCTTTCTTAAGCTCCGCCTTCAGGAAGTCATCACAACGTAGCTCCTCTATTAACCCCTTTAAGAAAGTTTTTTACCAGCATTGCACTGAGAAGTAGCTCCTACACTGAGCACAGCAGATGCTCCATGTGTTTGCTAATTGATGCTAGCTAGTCCGAAGGAGCTGAGTGGGGGAATCGCATGGGTGGAGTGTTCAAATGCAGCTCGAAGGCGGCGCTGCATCGTGCAAATGCCCAGACCACTGGAATGAAACATGAATGAAAGAATCGTGGAAACACTCCAGGTTTCTTCTGATGAGGGGATAACATGAAAACATGATGTAAAGCTCAAAAAGGTCGATTTTAAAAAAAGTGGTATATGAATATTTCAGTATGGAACATCTTGACTCTTGTTCACAAAATCTTCAAATCTGTCAGATTGTGAAGATGTCTCCTGTTCACAGCTTTCTTCAAAGATTTGGGCTTCAAACTGTAACATTCTTCTGGTGACGATCTTGTTTTATTGACTTTCTCTAAAGCCCATTTCCCAGCTGAATAAAGACGGTCTAAAAAAACAAACCAAAAACTCCCCAAATCTGTCTTATTAAAAGTAATTTATGAATTAAATAATTTATGGGTTTTCCTGTCAGGGTTTAAGACGGTCATCCAGTTACATTTGCAAGTTGTTTTCAGTTTATTATTGAGTATCCCATTGCCTCTAATTTGCCCCACATAACACTGTAATATAATACACTAAAACCTCTGAGTGTCTCTATAAACTTAATATAAAACAAATTCCAAAAACCTCATTTGTTTGCTCTACACTTCCTTTCTGCTGATATCAATTTCAATTCCAAGGTGGACCTCAGACAAAAAGGTCATCCCCATCCGTACAGTCGGACTTTTCCATTCTAAAGAAGGAAACTCCCACTTTCCGATTGTGCATCATTGGAAAAAAGAACGTCAGATGCACAAGAGGAGATGGACCTTATCTTCTTTTGGTGGCTGAGATGCTATGCTAGGAATGCATATTCTTTGAAGGACGCAATGTAATATCACTTTTATATTACAAATGTCAGACTTTTGAAAAAACAGACGATTTAATGATTTTCATTTTCAGGGAAGATGTGACTCAAGTTGGAGACAATTGTTTTCAGTAATTCCAGTTCATTAGAACCTTTCTGGTAAAAACAATAGGAACACATATTTTATCCACACATCTGGCTCACAGCACACTCGGGGCTTCTTATGTATGAGGGATCTCTCACTCTTGAGAACAATGGAATGAGCTCTTGCCTGTGCTTGAGGGTGTGGAGGAGGGAGCAACGGTTCGGGCTTAGCAATGTGGCTTGGCTGCATGGATGATGTGACCCGGCCTGGGTGGGTCTGAGGGAAGTCTGCTGCTCGCTACACGGCCCTTTCAGACCACTAAGAGGTCATAATTTATGTGAGCAGCTGGTGATGTCAACACTCGGTTGTCAACTGTGGTTGTTTCTTAAAGAACATCACGATCCAACGTGGGAATATGGAGGGGTCACATTTAGAGGGGTAGAAGGAAGGACTTTTAGATAAAACAATCACATACATGTTAAAATATGTTTACAGAAATCATTTCTAAGGACCATGTTTTCCTTTGTACATCTATTGCGTTTTCACTATGTTTTGGTCAAGTCTCAGTGTTTTCAGAGGAGCCAAGCAAAAAACTATTACCGACTTGGATTTTTGACACTTTCACAGCCTATTAGGAAGACAATTTGTTAACTGTTCTTTCGCTGAGTACAAAAGTTCCATCCATCCATCTTTCTTATGCTTATTCGGGGGTGGGTCGCAGGGTGACAGCCTAAGTAGGGAGATCCAGACTTCTTTCTCCCTACTTACTTGGGCCAGCTCCTCTGGGGGAATCCCAAGGCATTCCCAGACCAGCCGATAAACATAGTCCCCCCAGTGTGATCTGGGTTTTCCTCTGGTTTTCCTGCTGTGAGTTCCCACCAGGAGGGAGGCGTCCAGGAAACATACTAACTAGATGTCCTAGCCGACTCCTCTCAACATGGAGAAGCAGTAGCTGTACTCTGAGTCCCTTTCAGATGACCGAAAGGACTCAGGGAAAGTCCAGACGTTGTAAAGTGTCTGGACTAATTTCTCCCTAAGTGAGAAATTAGATTTTCTCTGTAAACTCTGTAGTCCAGATACCCTACGGAGAAGGCCAATTTTGGTCGCTTGTAGCCTCAATCTCGCTCTTTTGGTCTTGACCCAAAGTTTATGACCAAAGAGAAGAGTAGGAATGTAAATCAAGAGCTTCACCTTTTGACCTAGTTCTCTTTTCACCACAACAGACCGGTACAGTGCCCGGCTTCACTGCAGATGCTCCACCAATCTGCTTATCAATCTCCCGCTCCATTTTTCCCATTCATGAACAAGGTCCAAGAACAAGAAAACATTACCGCTAGCCCGACCCAGAGAGTCTTTATCGACTCAAGACTAAGGCTTTGTATTTTGAGGCACTGATCCTCTTCCCACCCCATACTCCCCGGAGTATGCCCCAGAGGGTTCCCCAAGGAGTCCACGACGGACACAGTCGAACAGCCTTCTTCAAGTCCACAAAGCACATTAGTTGAGCAAAATCCCACGCAGTCTCCAGGATCCTGCTGAGGATGTAGAGCTGGTCCACTGTTCCACCACCAGGACAAAAACCACCCTGCTCTTGAATCCGAGGTTTGACTATCCAACGGACTTTCAAACCCCTGGACTGACCTTACCAAGGATGCTTAAGAGTGTCCCACCCTAGTCTGCCAGTCCAGGGAAACTGCCCCCGATGTCCACACAACATTGCAGAGTCGTGTCAGCCATCACTATGCAGAGCCATAAGGAACTCCAGGTAATATACGAGTGCTAAAGAATAATGAGGTTTAACCTTCAGAAATTTTTATTTTAGCACCAATGGCTTGATTGTCAAAGATTAACTTGCCTTATATTTACTGATCAACTGATGAAAGGTTTCTTAGGTCTTTCTCATCAGATATTTTCTGTTTTTACTATGTAGACATATTGAGAAATCTCCACTGTTTAATGGTTGACTGAATTATAGAGGAGATTTATCTGACCTGACAACAGAACACAACTTAACTTCAACCTTTTCACCCTCTACTCAACCTGTCCTTTAAGGTGCTGTTGCTGAGAACAAAGCTAGTATTAACCACTCATCAAAACCATTACAAGTTTTGATGAGTGGTTTATCAACTAGTGCGGACTGGTTGCTTTACAAGCTATTTTATTAAGGCTTATTTGTCTCAAAAAGCAGAGGGATGTTCAACTCACCCCTCTCTTGTTTGAGATGTTTTTAGGAGGATTATTCCAAGAGTCTGACGTTTGACAGACTCTTAGAATAATCCTCCTAAAACATCTTAAACAATGAGCTCTTGTTCCAATCTTAAAGAGCCCAGTTCCTTCTGAACAGGGTGGTGGGCCCGAGTCCACTTGTATGAAGCATGTCGCTGCTCTCGTCTTCTGCGTGGTCCTGCCAACAGGAACTCCCTTGCTCCTCTCCGAGTTTCCTGCAATTGTTCTCCTCGCTGCCACCCGGCACAGACTCCTCCCAGGATCTGGGAAAAGGTGGGATGTTAAGCAGCCCATTTCCCCTTTGATCAGCTTCTACTTTAGCCGACACAGGAGGAGTATGTGTGAAAGGGAGAGGGGTAAAATGGTGTACATGTGTTGAAAGGCTGGGAAAATGTTTTTCTTACATCATCTGAATAAAAAAAAAAAGGACACCCTATATCGACCTTTCTTGCCTTTACCTCATCCGAGAAAATCGTTCCTATGAACTG